TGGATCTTCCTTTCTTTAGATTTGGGCAACACATATGTGATTTTGGAGATTAAGTGACTGCGAACATTGTGAGAGATGAAGGTGGATTGAAAGTCCTTGACGATGAAGCTCCAAGTGGAGGTTCGAATGGTGATATTGAGAGGGGATGCTGGTTTATGCAAAACCATGATGTTGCTCAAAACCATGGTTAAGTCGATTTGCGGAGCGGGCTTGGTTACTTGGTGAAGTTAGAGAGCATTGAGGAGATTCACGATTCAGAGTTGACAGAGTTTCTAGAACGGGTCTAGCAGCTCCTACAACAGTTTACGAATGTCTTTCAACAGCCAAGCCGGTTACTTCCTCCGAGGGAGCATGAGCACGCTATTACATTGATGGATGGTGTTTTTCTCATCAGCGCCAGACCATGTAGGTGCCCCCAGATTTAGAAGGATGAGATCGAGAAGCTGATATGAGAGGTGCTTGAGGCGGGGATTATCTGAAATAGTCAGAGCCCATTTTCCAGTTTCATTCTATTGATGATTAAAAAAGATGGTAGTTGGAGATTCTGCGTGGACTACGAGCTTTGAACAAAGAAACAGTGTTAAAAAAGTTTCTTATTCTTGTGATTGATGAGTTACTGAATGAGCTTTATGGGGCGGTCATGTTTCCAAAAATTGATCTCAAGTCGGGTTATCACCAGATCAACATAAATCCAGCGGATGTGCACAAGACAGCTTTCAGGACATATGAGGGACATTAAGAGTTCTTAGTAATGTTGTTTGGCCTCACCAACGCCCCGACGACATTTCAGTCCCTCATGAATAGGGTTTTGAACATTATTTCTGGAAATTTATTCTGGTTTTCTTTGAGGACATTTTGGTCTACAACAATACAGAGATAGAGCATGTGGGGCACCTAAGAACAGTCTTGGAGATGTTAAGGGAGCTCCAATTGTATAGCATGAAGAAATGTTCTTTTGCATAGTTGCGGGTGGGGTACTTAGGACATTTGGTGACCGGAACAGGTGTAGCAATGGATCAACCTAAGATTGAAACTATGGTTGATTGACCCTTACCAATGAATTTTAAGGAGTTGAGAGGATTTCTGGGTCTCACCGGATACTACTGGAAGTTCGTGAGAGGTTATGACACGATAGCATAACCACTGACAAAGTATTTGAAGAAAGACAGTTTCAAATGGGGAGAAGTAACAACACAGACCTTCGAACAACTGAAGAAGGCTATGACAAACGTACTGGTATTAGCACTTTAGATTGCAATAAATCATTCATGGTGGAGACAAATGTGTCAGGGTACGGATTGAGAGCAGTGCTCATGCAGGATTAGGGGTCGATTGCCTACTTCAGCCAGGTTCTTACAGACAAAGCGAGACTAAAGTCAATATATGAATGAGAATTGATGGCAATTGTCTTGGCCATTCAGAAGTGGAGGCCCTACTTATTGGGATGACAATTCTTGGTCAAGACAGATCATAGGAGTTTAAAGTATCTTCTGGCGTAGCGGGTGGTGAGTTAGGAGCATCAAAGATGGGTATCCAAGCTACTGGGTATGATTTGGAGATTCAGTACTGGCCAAGGATTGAAGAATAAACAGCTGACGCACTGTCAATAAGGGTTTGAGGAACCCCAATTGATGGCCCTATCGGTACCCTTGGCCTAAATTGGGAGGCCTTGAGGCAAGAGAGCAAATGGTTTAATGGGCCAAGGAAAATTGGGGCTAAAATTACTATAGGATCTGAACAGTCATCCAGGATATGCATTGAGGGAACAACAGCTGGTCCACCAGGGGTTACTCATGCTACCTAAGTCGTAAGAGTATGTTCTTAGATTATTGTAAGTGTTTCATGACAGTGCTGTCAGGGGACATTCAGGGGTGCAAAAAACCTATAGTCGTCTGACGACAGAGCTTTATTTTTGTGGTGATGTGCAGAGACGTGGAGGACATTATGAAAAAATGTGATGTGCTCCAGCGACACAAGTACTTGGCCACGACACTAAGGGGTTTTTACAACCATTAGCATTACCGAAGAAGGTTTGTGAAGAAGTGATGATGGATTTTATTGCAGGGTTGCCATGGTCAGAAGGGTTTACGGTGATTATGGTGGTCGTGGATCATTTAAGTATGCACATTTCATTCCCTTACGACATCCCTACGTTGCGGTCTCAGTCGCGGTGGTGTTTATCCTTATCCGGGAAGTAGTTAATTTGCACGGGGTGTCGGAATTGATTGTATCAGATATGGACAATCTGTTCCTCAGCCACTTCTGAAAAGAGCTATTTAGGTTTTCAGGGATAGTCCTTAAAAGTAGCACCGCATATCATCCCTAAACAGATGGGCAGGCAGAGGTGGTCAACAGGACTGTGGAGACATACTTGCATTGTTTTGTATCTGATACATCGAAGTTATGGGCTAAGTGGATTGCTAGAGTCAAATATTGGTATAATATTTTGTACCACACCGCAGCACAAACAACCCCTTTCAAGATATTTTATTGTTTGGATCCGCCTCATTTGATACATTTTAGGCATAACACTACATCGATATCCAACATTGATCAGTAATTGGAGGAGAGAGACAGGATACTAACAAAGCTCAATGTGCATTTTCTGAGTGCTCAACAAATCATGAAGTGGAAAGCGGATGGACTTAGGAAAAGGGTGCAATTCGAACCAGGGGACATGGTTTACTTGACTCTAAGGCCCTACCGATAAAAGACATTGGTCAGAAAGAGGAGCGAGAAACTGTCACCGAGATGTATTGGGCCTTATGAGGTAATAACACGCATCGGGGCAGTGGCCTACCGTTTGAGGTTACCGCCATCATCCGTGATAGGTCTTCCATGTATCCCAACTAAGACGAGCGATTGGAGATCACACACCCTCATCTACACTACCTTTGACGCTAATGGAGGACTTAAAGGTGATTATGAAGCCATTAGAGATTGAAGGAGTGTGCCGAGTAAGGGGAGCGAATGAGGCATTGGTTAAATGGAAATGACTGTCAGACCATGAAGCAATATGGGAGTCGTACGAGGTGATCCATAAGAAATTTTCATTTTTACATCTTGAGGACAAGATACTTTTGTAGAAGGAGAGTAATGTTACACTCAATACGCCTAGACGGTTGCCGGTCCAGAAGGGACTGGCCGATTTCAACCCTATCGACCCATAGCTGGGCCTGCCTATGTCGCAGGAAGAAGGTGAGGGGTCCGGGCGAGGCTCGGAGGAAGAAAAGGAGGGGGTGTGATCCACTGGGGGCATAATCACATATTCAAGAAGGCGAAATTAGAGGAGGTTTGGAGGAAAAACGGGAAAAGAAAGTTTTCAAATGCTATGGGAGGATTCTCTTAGGGGGAATCTAGAGTTTGTTTTCTTTTATGCATGTTTTTGTTTGGCTGCTATTTTCTTTATTTGTGTGGTGTTCCTAGCGAAGTGGTGTGGGAAAGACGATTTACCTCTCAAAAAGTAGATCACTCTTGTATCTTGCTTGTTTTCCTTTGATTTTTGTAATATTAGCCCTTGTTTGAGTTTTCCCACCTATCTATTGATCTTTCATCGTGGTTTCTTCGCTGATTTGGTTCCGAGGCATATCACCCTCCTTCCTCTTTTCATTTGGTTAGAAATTTCCCTCCTTTCTATATTCATTTCCTGCCTATCTCCTATTATGTTTACTGTCTAGGTTTTCAGTTTTATGTTATTTCTGATTTCAGATTTATGAGGACAGCCGCCGATGTCTTAGTTTCCCCTCGAGGCATGTATCCGACGGTTTGGGTGATGCTTCAGCTGTATCCTTTTCTCCGGAGATGTTTTATCTTCCCCGACGTCCACCTCCATCTCCCTTCCTTGCCGCTTGCAGGTTTTCCACGGCTTCCTTGTCCCTGCCACCCTTCCCACCCCCAACCACCGCCCTCCCCCCTGCACCCCCTGTTTCCACTCTTTTCTTACGTTACCCAGCAGGTGGCCTTCCCATCTCCTGCAGCAGGTCTCACCTGTAGCTTTGCTGCTGCCCCATCCGCTCCAGTGAACCCCCATCCACTATACAGGTCAGTTTGCAAGTCCCCCTGCACTACCAAGCCAATCCCATAATCCCCACACAGGCAATCGCGTAAACCCCACCCCACTTCCAATGCCCTGTATTTACTGGAATTCCCAACCCGTCAGCCTCAATCCTCCCCCAAACCAACAACTGTCCTTCTAAGTCCCTCCTCGGCTGCTATCAGCCTTCTGGCCATCCATCGATTGCCAGGACAGCCCGCAGGCTGCTGTCCAACCTACGTGCAGCAGTCCTGCCCTAACATCCCACCCCTCAGTCATCGCCTCGAGGATGTTATTTGTGTTTGTTGTCGTTTATTTCCTGTTTTGAGTAGTATTTGTCGTAACCTTTTTAATTTTAGCTATAATATTATTATTCCTGTCGTGTTTAGGGTTTTTCTCTGGTATCATGGTGTATAGGTAAATAGGAGTAAAGTGTCAAAATAATTCACTGACTATTCAGATTGGGTCATTTTATTCCCGAAATTTATGAAAGTGATAAATTAATGGTCAGACTATTTTTAATAGGGGATAAAATAGTGCTCATTGTGGACTATTTTAACTCATATTGAAAAGGTCTAAGGACTAAATTGACACTTTTATAAATTTTGGAACTAAAATCACTCTCTGCAAAGAGTCATATAACCATTTTGACACTTTTGTCATTCAAATAATATATGTAATCCCCGCACTTTATATATGGTTTGCCTTTTTTTTTTTTGCATTAATTGAAAGTCAATTTTCCTCTGTCCTTTAAGGAGCTCACTGATTCATAAAAAAGATGGTTGTGCTGGCCTAATAATCTCAACGCAGTTTCTATGAATCAGGATCATTGTACCTTCGTGTTTCTTAGAGTAGTCTGAGCAGAGTCTAATCTGAACACACACACACACACACACACACACAGATATATACACACATATATATATATATATACACACGGACTCTAAATGATTGATCTGATATTTAGGTAGCCTCAGAAAGACTACCTGACCTGAAATCAAGGATGATTGAATATGCTAAGGAGCATGCCCAAAACATTGGGGAAGGCCTGGAAGTTCTTCCCGGTGTTTCTTCTTTGCTGGATGCTTTATCTTCAAAAGGTGTTGCCATTGGTTTGGTATGTCTTTTATTGTATTTGTTGTTTGTCTTTACTATTACTGCCTGCTCTGTGAATAACTTACCTTTTTATTAGATGTTGGAACTTGTTATCCATGAAGATTTGGGAAACATACATACCACACAATTCTTATGTATTTACATGTCTAATACCCAAGGTTTGATATTTACACTTATAACATCTTGGTGTCATAAACTTATGCATGAAAAGGTGTATTTCACTTTTAAAAAGATAATGATGGTGTATTTTTGATGTGATGTTAAAGATTTGAATGATATGTATGTAAATATGAATGTTTAGGTGTTAGATATGTAAAAAAATGAGAATTGTTTGGTATGTATGCAAATGCCCTCTCATATTTTTTGTTGATAAAACGACATTTGAATTTGGTGATAATAGTGTTCAATTGCTCTCGATTCCTTGAATTACTTCAGCTGCTGCCTCTTATTTGTTATTTGTTCTCACAATTTTTTCTATTCCTATATTGAATTACTTCACTATTAGCATTGCTGTCACAGCTGAGAAATTTTAGCAAAGACAGCCTCTTTACCACCTCAATTTCTTCAGTTATTATGAAAGCAAAGTTTCAGAGATTTGCTAAGTTGTTTGAAGTCATGAAATTGTTGCTAAGGTCTTAAGTTCAAATGTTGCCTATGTTGACTGTTAAAATAAAAATAAATAAATAACATAAATTAAGTTAAAACTCAACCTACTCCTGCTCTAACATGCCCATAACTGCTCGCTCGATTTATCCTGTTTGAGTCGTAAAAGTCATGCATCGGACAAAAAAACATCTCGCTCCTTTTCTCTCTTATCCTAATCACCACAAAACCACATTCTTTCTCCCAATCTTATTTGTTTCTTACCACAAAGACAAAATTGAAGTTGAAGACTCTTCATGCGAGCCCTAGACACAGAATGCCTCTACTACTTGAAGAATGGGCAACAATCTCTATCCCATAGAACTGCACGCGTGCTTCTTCCTCCAGCCTGTCGATCTCTTCTGTCTTGTGCACAAAACACATGATTTCGCTATTCGAAGCCTCCTCCCTGTCCTTTCTCTTTGAACTACAAAGCCAAAGCTACACAAGCCTTTGCCTTCCACCGCTGATACTATTCGGAACCAAAAACAACAACAAACAACAAATAGATTGCACTAGAGAGGTGGAGAAATTCAAATGAGGGCTTCTTTTACCAAAACCAATGAAAACAAACAAGATACAACGATGATTTATTATTCGAGAGGTTGATCGTCTCTCCACAAACCTTAGACGCCACTAGAAACATCATAAGAAAGAAAAAATAAGTACAGCCAAACAAAACATATCCCAAACCCTAACTTCTTAGCCCTAATATAACCCTCCCAATACTCTTCAAACTTCCCCCAAAACACCTTGAATTTCTCCTCATGTATGTGATTAGAGCCGTTGTAGGCCCCCATGCGCTTGGGGATTGGAATATTTTGCGGCGGCCTAAGGGTTTTTCGCCCCCTACAGGTGACCGGTTGGCCGCTAGAAGGTTGGAGTGGGCTAGTCTGCTAGTTCCAGACTTGCCCTGCATGGGTTTGTTTATTCACCGGAGTAATAATACTTCCCTCCCAAAAAAACAACTTCTCTTGACGGTGAAATGATGGAAACTGCTTTCGGATCACCTCATAAGGCTCCCACATTACTTTCTACTCTAGCAAACTTTTCCACTTAATAAGTACCTCCTTTGCTCCCACCCCTTCTCGACGCACTACTCGACTTCTATCGGTTCTAGAATCACCTCCAAGTCCCCTGTCATCATAAGGGGCAGTGACGACGGGGGTGTATGATCTTCGATCGCACGTCTCACCTATGAAACATGAAAGACTGGATCTAGTGTTGATGATGGAGGTAACCTCAAACGATAGGCCATTGCCCCTATACGTGTCATCACCTCGTAGGGTCCAAAGTATCGTGGTGAAAGTTCCACTCATCCACTTGACCAATGTCTTCTACCTTTAGGGCCTCAGCTTCTAGTAAACCATGTCCCTCTGTTCAAACTACACCTCTCCTATATGTTCATCTGCTTCTCTACATGATTTCTTGAGCTCTCAGTAGATGAACTTTGAGCTTCACAAATATTTTGTCTCTCTCCTTCAAGTACTTGTCGACATTGGATATCAGTGTAGTACTATGCTCATAGTGTATCAGGTGGGGTGGATTCCGTCCATACAAAATCTTGAAGAGAGTGGTTTGCGCTGCAATATGATACGAAATATCATACCAATATTCAACCCACACCATCTATTTGGCCCAAAACTTTGGCATATCCAATACAAAATAAGGGAGTTATGTCTCCACACTTCTGTTGACCACCTTCATTTGACCATCTGTCTGTGAATGATATTTTGTGCTTCTCTTGAGGTTTGTTCCTTGTAACCTGAACATCTCCTTCCAGAACTGGCTGAGGAATACCTTGTCTTTTTATGATACAATCAATGAAAACGGACCAATTCTTGCATGAACACAATAATGACTGAGATCATAATGTAGGGGTGTCGTAATGAAATGAAATGTATATGCTTAGGTGATCTACTTCAACCAGGATCACCGTAATCCCTTATGATGGTGACAACCTTTCTATAAAAGCCATCGTCACTTCTTCCCAAATATTTTCCGACAATGCTAAGGTTTGTAATAATCCTCCGGACATTATGGTCAAGTATTTGTATCGCTGGCTTACATCGCATCACACCACCATGTCTTCCAGGTTTTTGCACATCCCCACACTATAAAGTTCTATCGATAGACAATTGTATGTCTTTTGTACCCTGGAATGTCCCCCGATTGTACTGCCGTAAAACTCCTGTAATAATTTGAGGATGTATTATGATGCCCTTGGTAACATTAACCGCCCTTGATAGAGTTGTTGCTGTCCCCTCAATGCATATCATGGATGACTGCTCAAATTCTGCAGCAACTCTGCCCGTATTTTCCTTAGCCCATCATCTTGCCCACTCTCTTGTCTTAGGCTTCCCAATCTAGGACCAAGGGTACTAACAAGGTTGTTTGTTAGCTAGGGCTCCACCTTCTCGACAGGGTTTCTGCAACTTTATTTTCCAGTCCTGGCCAGTACTGCATCTCGAAATCATATCCCAACAACTTGGATAATCACCTCTGATACTCCTCAATCATCGTCCTCAGCTCCAACAGATACTTCAAGCTCCTCTGATCTATCCTTTCATTAAAAGTGTCGTTCTGACAGGTAGGGCTGCCACTTTTGAATGACCATGGCAATAACTATCAACTCACGCTCGTACACTGACTCGAGCCTCACCTTAGCTATGAGCACCTATCTGAAGCAGGTAATCGGTCACTGGTTCTGCATGAGTATTGCTCCCAATCCATATACCCTGACGCATCTGTCTCTGCCACAATTTTTCCATTGAAATCTGGAAGTGGTAATACTGGTATACTGGTCATGACTCTCTTCAAATGTTTAAAGGCTTGTGTTGCGGCTTCCCTCCACTTGAAATTGTCTTTCTTCAGCTGCTTCGTCAGTGCCCACGCTATTGTGTCTTACCCCTTCAAAAAATTTTAGCAGTATCCGGTGACACTTAGGAATCCTCTCAACTCCTTCAAGCTTCTGGGTAAAGGCCAGTCAATCATAGTCTTGATCTTGGATGAGTTTGCTGCTACACCGACCCTGTTCACCACATGGCCCAGGTACTCCACTTGTATTTGTGCGAAGGATCATTTATTCAAATTGATGTATGACAGGTACTCTCTCAACTTCTCTAAGAATATCTTCAGGTGCTCCACATGTTCTGTTTCTATACGACTGTAAATCAGATGTCATCGAAGAAAATTAGAACAAATTTCCTGAGCTAAGATTGAAGGATCTTATTTATGAGGGGTTGAAATTTGCCTGGGGCGTTGGTGAGCCGAAATGACATTATTAAGAACTTGTAATGTACTTCATTTGTCTTGAGCGTTGTCTTGTGCATATCTGTTGGATTCATTATGATCTGATGGTATATAGATTTAAGATCGATTTTCAAGAATATGACTGTCCAATAAAGCTCATCTAACAACTCATCAATCACAAGGAGAGGAAACTTGTCCAACACAGTCTCCTTATTCAAAGCTCGATAATCCACGTAAAACCTCCAACTACCATCTTTTTTCTTCACCAACGGACATCAGTCGTCATACGGTGGGATGTGGTTTAATTTAGTATAATATAGTATTTAGAAATTAGGTATTTTAATTTGAAGAAAATGGGGTCAAATTGATCTCATTGATTCTTACAGTTTGAATAATCGAGCTAACCACGAGTAATGTTAATAAACTCAATTAAATAAATTGTAGAAATAAATGACTTCCGTTTGCATGATGACCGACAAATTCCCTTATTTGATATGAGAGTCAAATAAGGTTTATTTTAAGTCTGGGTTCTTTTAAGTTACCTATAAGGTCAAACCCCTATAGTTAATCATATTTTAAGCGAATGAATCACTTAAGAAAACTCTCGATAAAAATCAAGAATTTTTGTTTTCATGAATTCAAAAGAAAAGGGTTTTCAACGAAGATGATTGTGAAATTTTCAATAGAGATTAATTCAAAGGTGAAAGATTTTATTTCAAGAATCAAAGGAAGAAAAGTATGGGAGATTAAAGGCCCAAAATATGTTCTTGGTAATCCCCCAAACTATCATAATGTTTGACTCAATGTATGCTAATATTAATTTAAGTTTAACTCTTGCCAGTTTTATTAATTAGGGCTTAGATTTGTGTATGATGATTTACACAAAAAATTTAGAAAGATATGAGGTTTTACGTTGAGCAACTACCTCAGAATCCTAAAACAAGTTAGGACATGCTGCATATCGAGACTATGCAAGAGCCTAACAAAGAGAGATTTTATGTCATAAAAATCAGCCTCGAAATTCTAAGAATTGTTATTTAAACTAAAGAAAGGTGTTAAACGAGCTTTCCACGAAGTCTGCTCTAAGTTTCATACTGAAATGTCTTC